TATATATATATTTAGAATTCAGGGAGACTCAGCTTTGACAAGACTCCCGATGCTCACCTTCACTCTCACACCATTCCAGGAATGCCAGAACTCGGGCGTTTCCCTGGCACGACAGGTAGTCTTCCAGTAACAAGGGGGCAACTGAGGACAAGGTCACAATTGCATGCAGCTGTAACTCTTCGTATTGTGCTGCAGACCATTCCATTACTTTGTGCTTCTCAGGCTTTTTAACATACGTAAGTAAAGCCAAAACCACTTTGCCATCAATTAATAGCTAGGAGAAAGAACAAAAGACACTTTGTTAGAAGCTTAATTAATAATTTAATCTAAGAAAATTAAAGAGATCAAATCTGGTATGTTACTGATGGACATTTCAAAATATTTCTTTCTAAATATCACATATTTGGCAGATACAAAAAAACCCCACAGAAACAATAACCCCAAACAAAATGGTAACAGTAACAGGTAATTAATTACTTTGTCTAAACTACATATGTAATTTAGTTTCTGCTTAGGATGAAACCATGTAAATAGAAAGTTTGAAGCAAAGGAACCTTGGCATTTTTCCCCCTCTGTCTTTTTCAAAGGAATTTTGGGGGGTGCAGGGGGTCAGCCTCAAGCTCTTGCGCATGCTACGCAGCACTCTACCAACATACTATACCCTAGCCCTCAAAGGAAACACTTCATAGACTCATTGTATGCCATAAAAGACAATTTTATCTGAGAAAGGACTGCAGCTAATCTTTAATCACATACAAAATAACTTATACAAATGTTTCATCAAGTGAATGTCAGTTGGCTTACAAGCTGTGTTTAATTATATTCCTAGTACTTTAAAATTTTCTTCAATCTAGTATTTCAATACAAAGAAGAATGCATAGCTCTTATAAAATGACAACAGAGGTAATATAGCTGATTTTTTAAAAAATGTATTTAGGGCAGGATCTACAGGGTCTCCCTACACAAATAGGACTTGTAGTGATACTCCTGTTTTTCAGCCTCCCAAGCGCTGGAATTACAGGTATGTGCCACCACACCCAGTCTCAATCACCATGTAGTGCGCCCTGGGGACGGGGCCGGCGCGGCATGCGGGGCATCAAACCCCGGGCCCCTGAATCCGCCTAAGCAGGTGCTTTAATCTGCTGAGCTATCTAGCCAGCCCTGTGATATAGCTGATTCTGATTGATTATAATTATAATGACTGAGTATAAAATATGTACAATAATATACTTAGTTTTACATTGTCCTATAGATTTTTTCCAAATAACAATTATTAATTTTCCTAAATTCTGTGAGTTTAATATGTGAAGGATGTAAGCTTTAGAGTTGAGAAAAAGGAATAACTCTTCCTTCTAGCAACACTGCGAGAATTAAGTGAACAATAGTTCTGAGGGGCTCTGCGAACTGCAAATGATTCCATGCGTTACCACCATGATAACAGACTCTGATCTCTGTGAAATGTTCAATCAACTAAAACTGGCTTACAAAGCATACGGCAAATTTTATTTATTTTCTTGTGCTCTGTGATTTTCAGTTATACAATACTCTGATATAATAATAAACCATATTTTATGGAATGATTTTCTACTTGGTATTTAGAAAATACATTAGGATCTATACATAATATATCTTTAATAACAATAATAAAGTTATAACTCTTGGCATAATTGCTTTTCCTAAGCATATTTTTTTCTATGTATTTCTCAAAGTGGCTACACACACCAAGAAAATGGTGGGTTCTTTAGATCTTCACCGTGATATGTTATCCCCAGGTGCAAAGTGAGCTACCTGGAATTTAGAGAAACTTAAAAACTTCTTTGAGGACATCTTCATAAAAAGCAACAGCAGTGGAATTCTGCCTGCCTAAGGCCTTACCATAGTGCACTATATTACACTTATATTATCAGTGTTGATATGAATATAATGAATTTCTCTTTATTTTATGAAAAGGAAAAGAGCTTTAAAGAGTTTTGGACTAAAAGGAAAATTTAATTGACATAGTAACTAGGCTGATAGACATGAAATATACTTTTCTGTGCATTTAGGGTCTATGAAACCTTCGTCTCAACCTCACAAGAGCCCTGTGAGCACCGCACACGTGTCCTGATCTTTCTTCTACAGAGAAGAACTGAACTTCTCTGGAAGAACAGGTAATCTGCTGAGGCCGCACAGTCAGAAGGTGCTGAGTGACAAGTGAAATTCAGTTCCAGCGCTCTTCACATCTCATCATGCTGTTATACAGGGAGTGAAGCACTAAGTTAATTTATGAATAATCAAAAATTAAAGATATTAGGCTTATAGAAAGAAAAAGTGGGTTCAAGTTGGTTGTGGTGACACATGCTTGCAATCCCAGTAATCTGGGAGGCTGAGGCAGGAGGATCACAAGTTGGGCAATTCAGTTAAAACTTGTCTCAAAATAAAAAAGTTAATGGCTGAGGACACAGCCCAGTATAAAGGCCCCTGGGTTCACACCCCAGTTCCAAGAAGAAAACAGAAAAAGCAAGTTCATAAGGGATTGAGATCAGTGACACAGAGGCTAATGACTTAATTTAGCTTTAAATTGCCCCTTATCGGACATAAGTAAGACTTGTATGTGAAAACATCATGTTGTCTCCTTAGTGTGACATCCTGAGAGACAAAATGGAATCTGAAGGGTACAACAGATACTAGGAAAAGGGAATGAACTTATTCAAAAAGAAAAAGTTACTGAGTTGAGAAGGAACAGGAGAGGGAGTGGGGGAATGAGATTTATCTATTTATGTAAGCAGGATGGTTTGGACGACTGTACTGTGCATTTCTGCTGGTCTATGGAAAGGAGCAGATAATACTTAATTTGTTTTATCTCCTTTTTATTTTTTGTGCTTTTTCTCTTCTTAATTTCTTATATACTTCTTTCTTTTTTCTTCTTCCAATTTTGAATGCACATATCTGGTAATGTGAATAATGGGTTGGAAGGTAATACTATGTATTGCAGCAAATACTGTGAAATTCATTACTTTGTTAAGTAAAATTCTGTATCATTTATAATTTTTCTGTTTTAATACCATTTTTGTCCTGTCTTTAAAAAATAAAAAGTAAGAAATAAATTGCCCCTTGTCATTATCATCAGAAACTAACTATTTAATTGCATGGGCCCTGAATGAAATTCTCTCATTTGATGTTACCTTATTCAGGAGTCCTAAATACTCATATATCAGTAAATCTCTTAGTTTCTGCTGTTTTTCTTGGTTTAAATCTACTTCATGTTTATTAACAGGTAAAAAAGTCTGTTCTCTTGTTTCCTGAGACGAGGGTCTCACTCTGCCTTGAACTCACTATACATCCTATGTTGGTCTTGAACTCACAGTGATCCTCCTGCTTCAGCTTCCCCTGGACTGGGATTATAGGTATGAGCCACTATGGCAGGTACATGTTTTTTAAAAAGCTGAAATTCAAAGCAAGAGGAGTTTATTATTTTTTATGATAAAGATATGGATTGATGAAATATTTAGTCATGACTTTGAAAAGATTATACTATAAAGTAAGATATCTGTATTTTCTTATTTCATTTAATCTTTACCTGTACAGCAGGCAAATCTTTACATAAGATCACAATTATATTGAATAACAATTTCTTCAACTCAAAATCTTCATAGGAATTAGAAAGTTTAAGACCTTTTACCAAAGGGTTTTGACTCTTCACTGTAAAGAAAAAAAATAAAATAAAATGATAGACAACCCACATTAGAACAATTACCAGAAGTTTGAAGTTACATATTTTTTTACCTTCATTAAAAGTTGTAAATAGGATCAGATCTCTTGTAAAGCCACATTCCTAATATAAAAACACAAAACATTCAGAAAGATGAATTATTTAGGATGGACACTCTGTTTACCTATTATTTACTCCATTTATGAAATTTATAAACTGCAATTTATTTAAATTTATAACCACTAATACTAGTAAGAAAATAAAAGCACATAGACTTGTACTTCACTTTACATTTACTTCCATAGGTTCTAAGAAGTATTTTACATTATCCTGTAAATATATTGCAGGATACAGTTTAAAATTTAGTAAGAACCCAAAGTGCATTTGGCCTATAAGGTTACTTTAGAGCTTGCCTGGCAAGCGCAGGGTCCTGAGTTCAATCCCCAGTTCCGGAAAAAAAAAAAAGTGGTTCATTATCTGTATCCGTAAGAGAACCAATAGATTCTGAAGGGGAGTGAGAACTCTGAAAAATGCAAATGGCACTATGCAAATTCCTATTCTCCCCTTTAAAAAGAGAGCAGATTCTACTTTGTATCTTGTGGGACACTAAAATCCTGAGTAAACCTGAAGTCTTAGTGGCCTGAAGAATCAGACAACAGAGACAACCACAGCAACAGGACAGTAAAGGGTAAGATCCCTTAAAGGACAGAAGGATGGAGGGGAAACTCCAATTTCTGAATACAAACTCTTCTCAAGCCTCTGGCTGATGCCTAGCTGCACAAGTTCAGAGAATTCTCAGGTAGACAATAGAACTGGGATCTGAACTCTTCACCACAGGCATGTGTAGACTGATTATTATGTTTTGTGTCTAGATGTCCTCCAAAGCCTCACGTGTGGGGCTGTTACACAGGTGGCTGAACCTTGAGTGTGTGATGCTGGGATTAAGGATGTCACTCCACTGACTGGATTAGCACTGCGCTAATCCTCATAAACTGGATACAATACAAGGGACAGAAAGAGGGTTGTCTCTCCTCCCTCACTGCTTTGCTACCCCCTGGGCACCACAAACAATTCACCTCTGTGATGTCTGTCTGCCATGCCACCTTGCCTTGAAGCCAGCCAATTATGGACTGAAAGCTCTACCGCTACCCACTCTGAGCCATGTAAACCTTACCCCTTTAGCATTGGGTATCAGGTCTTTTGTCTCAGCAACAAGAAAAGTAACCAAGAAACTAGTTAAATGCTTATTAATAATAAAAAGAAAAACTGTTCTTCAGAGTAGTACATCAGAACCTACAGGGAAGATGCTCATACTGAATGCAAACACAGCAAATCTCTGTACACAAACAGAAACTGTCAAACGAAACCAAAAGGAAATCATAAAACTGAAAAGCACACCTGAAATAAAAAATATACAGGATAGGATTAGTACCAGAAAAAAGGAGTCAGTGATTTTAAATATTTATGATAATATAATTAGTAATAGTAAATGACTGAAGAAAGTAGGGGCCGGGGAGATGGCTCAGTAGGATAAGCGCTTGACTGGCAAACGCAAGGATCTGAGTTCAATCCCCGGTTCAGCAAAAAAAAAAAAAAAAGAAAAGAAAGAAAGTAAACAGAGCCTTACAAACTTGTGTGACATTATCAAAATGTCAAGCATACAAGTAATTGAAGCTCAGGAATAGAGCTGCCTGAGAAAGGGGTTTTAAAAATGTTTAAAGAAACTCCTGACATTGCCAGTCCTTTGGATAACCCACTGCTGTTATGGACTACTGGACTATATTGGAATATTTTGCTGAATTCACGCACCTACAATATGTAAATGACAATGAAATACCCATCTCTGACAAAACCAAACAGAAAAAGGGGACACAAATGAAGGACCTTTTTGTATCTGTATATTCAAAATAGTTAGGATAGATATACAGCTACTTTCCCTTAATTCAATGAATAGAAAGATTTGTACTAATAGTGTTTGTGGACAGGATATCATGTCTGCATCTTGTACTATCAATAACCAATAAGAAGACAACAATATGCAATGCATTAATTATTGAAACTGTCCTACTAATAACAATGAGACGGTTTTAAAACTGTCTCATTGTTGTTTCTCAATAAAATTATTTAAAAAAGAGGTATCATTGACATAAAAATTTTATAAATTTAAGATGCTCAATTTGATATTTGGATATATGTACATGGCTAGTGACAAGATGTAGTTCTATGGAGCTGGGCGCACAGCTGGTGGAGCCTGGAGGGCTGTATGCTTGGTACAGAATCATTTTCCCATCAGAGGGAGTAGGTCTGAGGGGTGAGTGTTTGAAGGAGAACTTAAAATTTAAATTTTTTGATACGTTTTAGAGCCTTTAAAGACTGCCTGTATCATTTTTATAAACTTACTTTAGAAAAACAATGTTTAAAGAAATCATGGTCACTAATTCTCCCTATTTGGTTAAAGACTTAAATTTATCTGCCGAAGAGCTCCATAGAACACAAACAAGACAAATATGAAGGCGATCACACCTGGGCACAACTTCTGGAAACAAAGGTAGAGTAAATACCTCAAACACAGCCAGAGCAAAAATAGCCAGACATGTTGCACATGGGCAAACAATTTGAAATAATAAGCACTTCTCATCAGAAAAAATAGAGCACAAATTAGTGGAACATAATATTTAAAGTTCTACAAAATTTTTTTTCAGTCTAGAATTCTATATTCAGCAAACACACTTTTAAGGATGAATGTGAATTAAAGATATTTTCAGATAGACGAGAACTAAGAGACTGCTGAGAGCAGCCAGCAGATTTGCATAACAAGAAATGGTAAAGGGAATTCTTCCAGGGAAAAAGAACTGGTGCTGGCTGGAGACTCGATCATCAGGAGAAGAAGGAAAGAAAAGCCTCTACAGGGTAGCTCTGTGTGTGAATGATAAAATATGAGGTGGATGGAAATTTTCCAAAAGCATGGAAAGGACTGGCACAGTAAAAGTATAATGGTGGCCATCATGTCATTCCAATATGACTTGGCACTATAAGAAATACATAGATATTACAACATAATTTAGGACTTCCGGCTCCCATGCCCACCATCGCCACAATTAAAATTAATGCAAATTGACTTATACTTACAATCATTGGTGCTCCCCGGTTTTGAGCTATAATTGTAGTGATCACTAATATATCATTTCTAAGTTGGCGATCATAATGACTAAAACCTCTCATGAACAGATTTTTAAATACTTCCTTCAGAGTCCTAGAAAATAAAGCAGTATT